CAGGAACCTGGCATATGTAGCCCTTGATGTCCTGACGTATAAGAAGTATCGGGAAGCCAGATTCTCAAGGAATAGAGCACTACGGAGCATTCTCACAAAAACCAGACCCAAGAATAAAAATCAAAACCACAGAAATAAAACCAAAGTTATCGCTGCGACATGTGGACGACACCATTATCTGAAATCATGGTCACGACCACCTCAATAGCCTGAATCCATCGATAAAGTTCATGATAGAAAAAGAAGTAGACAACAGCCTTCCGTTCCGAGATGTCAGGATGGCGTCGAACAAGGGCCAGATAGAAACTTCAATATGCCTGAAACGAACACACATACGGCAGTACCTGAATTATTCTTCAAGCCATTCTGTGACCACAAAGAAAGGGATGATTCGAACTCTCGTTGAGACAGCTGAGCACACCGGTAAGTTTAGAAGATTAGACCTGCAAGATTAAGGAAGATCTGGAAAACAATGGATACCCAAGATCAAGTTTTGCAGGAGAATAGTACAATCAGGAGAAATATGAGGGATGAACAGCAGCACACCGTCATAATAGCGTACGAGGAAGACATCTCTAGTACATTAAGAAAAATTGGTAAGCAGTACCCCATCGAAACCAGCTTCTCAAAAAATAACACCCTTCGGAGCATTCTCTCACCAAACCCAAACCTAGGAAAGAAAATCAGGATACCATGGGCAAGTAATGCCAGCGTAGAAATCAAACCAATGTGGAATCATATTATCAGCAGCATCAAGAAGCTACTGTTAATAACCAGGCCTGGCCTCCGAAGATCACGTCATGACCACCGACCAGCTCATCATCCAGGAAACGTAATCACGTAGGACTCGTATATGATGACCTACTACCTGAGGATGTTCACCATCCTCCGCTTGTCATGATAATCAACATGAGCTTCCATTCTAAAGAGAGTATCAAATGCGCCAAAGAATTATATAATTTCAGAAAAGCCAATTTTGTAGCACTATATGAACAAATAAGCTTGGTTAATTGGACGTTTCTTGACAATTTAACAGATGTAAACGTAGCTTTGGAAACATTTTATAACATTCTTCGTAAAATTTTTAATATGTGTGTCCCTAGGACAAGTCTCAGATCTCTCAAATTTCCAGTTTGGTTTAACGGTGAAATGATTAGAGACATTAAAAGAAAAAATTTGCTACACAAAAAGTTTAAAAATGATAAAAGTTTGATCACTTACACTGAGTTCAAAGACTTAAGGACCAAAATTAAGCGCGATGAGCGTAACGCGTATCAAAAATATCTAGTAGATATCCAAAGTAGCCTATCTCAGGATCCGAACAATTTCTGGTCGTTTATCTGTAATAAAAGGGGAGAAAATTCCACAATCAGCCATGTAAACTATAATGGTAAGCAGTATGACAAACCCAATGAAATTGCTAATGCTTTTGCGTTATTTTTTCAATCTGTATATACTATGCCCTCGAACGCAACTGATATCAATATTTGAGTCCCCTATTTCCAAAAGCGGCTATATCCAAAATTGAAGGTATTAAGAAAAAGGCGAAAAACTGTAATTCTTACTATTTGTAAGTTTGTGAGTCAGTAATACCGTAATATTAATGTCTGTAGCACAATAAAGGATTTTTGAAAAATAAAACATATTTTTTGTTTTATATGTCAGTAGGGGAGGGGGGGCTAGGGATGGATCTACCCGAGTTTGAATGTGAACTTAGGATTTACCCGGTATTGAAACGAAGTTTGTGTGAATTCTTTCCTCATGTATTAACATTAGATAACAAAAAGGAATAAAAAAGAAAATCATACATTTTTTCTTGTAAACTGTTTAGGGTACATCAACTTAAAACTCAACTTGAGAAGTAGAAAGTCCTTTTTGTTAAAAACGAAAGTAAAAATCATACATCAGCTTCAAAGCTACACTCGGTATTAGCAAAGCACACACTATTATCATCATCATTTTTTTCTGCTTGTGTTAAACTTTGTTGATTATCCATAACAGTCTTATAGTATTCCAATTCGAATTCTTAATTTTTTGCTTCCACGCCGTTCCAAAATGTTTTGTCAAAAGTTCATCAACATTCTTTAGTTTTTTGGGATTTATTTTCAAGTTATTTATACAAACGTTTTCTGGGGATCTGGGGGCATGAGCGATATCCTCTTCCCTCTTTTGCAGATGCCTTTAGCCTTATTCACATCAGACTGGTAATTTGGTTCACCCCTTACCATGATTTGCAGATTTTTTGAACGAGTCAGTATCAACCGCTTTCATGATTTGATTTGTAAATGGAGTGAGGTTGGTGACTTGATGACATTTGCGGCCTCCTTTTTCCAATTTTGAATATGCCAGTCCTGTCCCAATTTTTTTAAAGTACCATGGTTTTCGAAAATATTATAAAACGTTTCAGGTTTGACTATTGTGTCAAGTTTTTTATCTTTTTTTCTATCAAGGCGAAAACTCGATCTGGAGGTAAAAAAGAATGGCCAGTGGCCGGAAATATCAATTGCAGTTTTTCGATATGGCTCGGAGCTTCTAACATCCATTTAGCGCACATAGACAGAACAATACTATTTTTGTTCTGCCCAGTGCAGCCATCTGATACCAGTCTAATCTCTTTCACATTCTCAGGAATCTTGATTTTGTTTAAAGTATCATAAACCGCTGAGGCGATTTCATTCGATCCCTTATGACATTCTGTTTCAAGCCATGTATGGATATAAACATTTTCTTTTAAAAGTTTTACTTTTGATGATCCTATGACCTATGACAACAGTAAAGTTGTAAAGATACAGTTGCCTTTTGTAATATGTTATTTGATCAGCAATTTTCGGTAATAATAAGTTTTTTTGGCAGTCAAATGATCGTCACTTTGACCATCGTTTTTTACCTGCAAATCTTTCTCTCTTTTGATCATTTCTCTGTATTCAAGGCATTGCGAGCAGACATCTACTTGTAGCGCATTGAATCCTATATAATACACAGGTCGTAAATATGGATTTAGCCGCTTTTGGAAATAGGGGACTCATTTCGGACTTGCATACTAACATAATACTTCAGAGCTTTTCCGAAGAAGAAGTTTTTACAGTGTTAAAGCAAATGAAGAACAAATTTACCTCCGGACCCGATGGAATCCCATCATTTTTAGTGCGTGACTGTGCCTACGTCTTAGCTCATCCCTTGACAAAGATCTTCAACCTATGTTTAAAGACTGACACGTTTCTTGAAATTTGGGGCGAATCAAAGGTGCGTTCCATTTTCAAGAAGGGTGATAGACTACAGGTTGAAAATTATAGACCGATAACCCTAGTATGTATCTTTTCCAAGGCCTTAGAAACTTTGCTTCATAATTTCCTATACCACAATACACATTCCCAAATAAGTACCTCTCAGCATGGCTTTATGAAGGGTAGATCAACCATAACTAACCTAGCCTGTTTTACTCAGTCAGTCTCCTCTGCATTAGATGCTAATAGCCAGGTGGATGTAATTTATACAGATTTTAGTAAAGCATTTGACAAACTTGATCACAGTATTCTGTTAAAGAAGCTGAGCTATTTTGGATTCTCCCCCAAGCTGTTATCTTTTCTTAAGTCATATCTATCAGGAAGAAAGCAATATGTTGAATATGAGGGTGTCAAATCCATTGAATTCTTCCCAACCTCAGGGGTACCTCAAGTCTCCTGCTTAGGTCGTTTGCTTTTCATACTGTTCATAAACGATATTGTTAGCGACATCGACAGCAGCCACTTAATCTATGCTGATGATCTGAAATTTTTTTCCAATGTCGACTGCAGCACTGACTGTGCTCACTTACAAAAAGACCTACCCAAAATAGTTAAATGGTGTGCTGTAAATCGACTTCCAATTAACTACAGTAAATGTAGTGTTATGTCTTACACCAGAAAGCTAGATATTATTGCATTTGACTACAGAATTGGCAATCATTCTCTGCTGAGAGTACAAGAATGCAAGGACCTGGGTGTGATTTTTGACATGTCACTTAGCTTCAATCCTCATTAATACCCTTATTAATGCTGTCATCAGATTATTAGGATTTGTAATACGTAACTGAAAGGAATTAAGTAACAAAGATGCCATGATTATGCTTTATAATTCATTCATACTGTCTAAATTACAATATGGACGGCTAATATGGAATCCATGCTATGTTACAACTTGTGGCTCTCTGGAGAAGATTCAGCGGAAATTTCTGAAATTTCTTTCATTCAAAATTGACGGTACGTACCCACCCATTGGGGTCCCACAGGAAGACCTGTTACGTAAGCACAAGTTTATCAGTCTTGATAACAGAAGAAAGATTCACTCGCTATTTCCTGCATAAAGTAGTGCATAGCAGTTATGATTGTCCATCATTTCTAGCACAGATTAAATTTAATGCACCAAAATTTGTTACTCGCAATACACTCACTTTTTACCTACCTACCCCACGAACTAACTTACTGTTGCACTCACCTTTGTACTCGATGTGTTCATGTTATAATAGTCTACAGAATACATTTGATTTGTTCAACACAAGTATTTCGAATATTAAGAGAGTTTGCAGTGAAACGATTTATTTTTTAGTTTTCGTTGTATTTTTATATGTTTTTTTTTTTTACTATTTCTATTCTTGTTTTGCCACCAGTAATTGGTTAACATTATTGGTGGTGGATTTCAATAAATAAATAAATAAATAAATTGACGTGGAAGGGACACTGTAAGCCAGTTCAGCTGAAGACGATTGAAAATAACTTCAATAGAAACGTCGTGATCTCAAAAATTGTATAGATAATGGAACTTGGAAATAAAACTTTTGAAACCGCCGTAAACTGTTCTAAAAGACGATTGAATCATTCTCTATTTCTTACAGGTTCCCGGCGGAGTACATCCGAACCGGCTACTCTGAAGCTCTCCCGGTATATGCGCAGCGGCCGAGCTTCGTGCCCAAAATGGGCGGACAAGGTCAGAAGGTGACAAAAGAGGCCAGGATACGACGGCCGATGAACGCCTTCATGGTTTGGGCCAAGGTGGAAAGGAAGAAACTGGCTGACGAGAATCCTGATCTGCATAACGCCGATCTCAGCAAAATGTTAGGTGAGTCAGATAAGTTTTGATGATATAAAAGAACCTTTTTCTGTGCCACATCATCGCGGTGGAGAGAGTGGCCACGTATTTTCTTTTTTTGCCTCTTTTATGCAAAATGATTACGAACAGTTTCCGGGAAGGCCATTTTCATAGCGCGGTAACCCATAAAATAATAACATTTATTTTTTATAGTTATTACTTTTATTATTAAACGTAAAATCTAAAACTGAAGGGATACTATTATAGACCAGATACCAATACATCGGCATGCTAGGGTGTCGAAACCAGAAAGTTGTAAACATGTTTTTGCCTTTGCTCGTCAGAAATTGTGGAACATTTAAGCTGCTGATTTTGACTGGAAGGCTTACAGGAACAGCGTTCTTTAATAGATTGGCCTTGTTTACTTAAACCTATTATAATACCACTTTTCATCTACCTTCTTTCTTCCGAAATAATTTTCGCCTTTCTCTCTTTTCATCTTCGGGGCCGTTCAAGTATTACGTAAGCAGATTTATTACAATTATTTACCCCCCATCCCCCTGTCAGCAAAAGTAAGCAAAGCTCTTACCCCCTCCCCCCATGCTCACGTAAACATTTGTCAATTAATGTATTGTTTTTTTTAATTATAATTATAACGTTATAATTATAATTTGAAAAATAAGAAAATAGATTTAGGATACAGATTATATCTTACTGAGCCATTCAACATCATGGTGCTCTAAATTTTGAACAATGCGCATCAGTTCATTAGCATGACGAGCAGCGACTTTTACAGGTCTAACTTTCCTATCAGTGTGCGTGTTTACTTTTTTATGGATATTTTCGATGTGACGATTTAGTGACTTGACGGAAGCATGACAAAGACCACACGTGTTGCATGTTCGACTTGATAGCCTCAATTTTACCGTCGGACAGAAATAATCGTAGGGCATTTGCAGGAAATCTTTGAGTGAAGCACTTAAGCGAAGAGCTAAATTGACTGGAAGATTAAGAAATTGCCCTCCTTCATCCAAAACCAAGTCATCAACTGTTTGTTTTACTTTTACAGGGCGGTGGGAGAAACCTATTGTCTAGTAATCTAAATAGGCCACTTTTTGGACAGCAGCATTCTGTATTTCTACATTTTACAATTTGAAGCAAGTATTGGCTCTCACGCACATGTTCTGAATACCATTTAATGTCTGGAAAATCAGGAAGATGTTGTTCACCTGCCCCAACATATTTTGCATTAACATTATAGCCATCAATTTCCATTGAATTCCATACTTCAGCTAATACATTTCCTGCAAATTTGAAATTAGATCTTTCTAAATGTTCATCAATTGTAACGCCACGCTCATCCAAATGAGACCCAAAATGGTCATGAGGCAATATTAAACCAGCCAGTTTCCGACTAAGAGGAGCCATTCTGCGCTCTACTCTGTTATACGCACTTCTTCCAGGAGCATTGGTAGCTAAAAACAATGCATCGAGATCATGTCGCTTAAAGTGTTGTATAGCAGACCCTATGACTTTTTGATAACGTGGATTTTCATCTGGCCCTCCATCAACCGTCATGATTACCACTAGTTTTACTAGTCCATGGTCAGTTTTAGCTAATGGTCGAAACTCTTCAAGTTCGAGAAGCTTCTCGAAATCCTGAGCATGAGTATTAGCAGTAGATGAACTATGCTTTCCACTTCGAATAGCGATGTATGTTGGTCCAGAATATCCAACGGCTTGCGGTTGTCCTAGCATATTGGAAGTGATTTTGATACCAGCATAAACAGATGGTATTAATTTATGACGCTCACCGATTACCCAATCGTGATCAGACAATTTGATTGTATATTCCATGGGCATTAGAAGAGGTGCTTGCTTATTTGCCGCAGTTACGCCAATAGGGACTCGAGCTTTATCATCTTGAGATATGAAAGATACTTGATCTGGTCCAAGTATGGATGCTATGTTCTATAAATAATGGATTGGTGTTTCAGCAAACTTGGTATCTAAATGGCTATTGTGGTGATCAGCTTGAGCCCGAATGAGCTTAACAGGGACTGTCGATGCATGTCTTCGTCCCTCTGCAGAATTAGATTTTCTGGGAATCAAACGAAGATACGTCCCACTGCGACTAATGTCAAATCCTATTTTACGTAATTCTTGTGTGAGTTCATCAAGACTTTTTACGCTGCGAATTGATTCCGTCCGTCTTCTATCATCTGCTGCACTTCCAAATAAAGCTATATCCGCGATTGTTTTCAATAGTGAATGTTGATTACTTTCAATATTAGGACGTCCCACTGAATCCCTCAGAGATAGTCTTTTTTTATTTCTGGATTTTCATGACAAATATCTTCTAACTTGCTTTTCATACCATCCCTGTGTTTCTTCTGGGCAACTGCGTTTTGAACCTTCCTGTTTAAAGACTGTTTTGCTGTTTTTATTTCCTTGCGCAACATAATGATCTGTTTATTAACTTCAGCACGGCTTGGCATAGTATCTCTGGCAGAATACAAAGCATTCAGATTTTTTTCGAGTAGAGCAATCTTATTTTTCTTAGCTTCCTGAGAACGTCTACTCGATATAGTATCCAAACAAAACAAAACACTGATAGAGGAAATTTAGAAAAGTGACCACCGCGCGGTAATTCCCCTACTCTGTTCTAAAGCGAGTAGGGGAATTACCGCGCGCTGTTCACTAAACGTATGCATTATTTGCGGGAATCCCCGAAAATGCGTTTCGTTTGCCAGCAAAGACAATGTGAGGGTTGCCATTCGTGTAAAAAAGTAAATAACTACCGATGACGTAATCATCATCTAGATTCCCCTACCCCCCATGTCATCCAAAATAAGCAAAGCAAAGACCCCCCCGCTCCCCATAGTGCTCACGTAATACTTGAACGGCCCCTTTTGTTTACCAGCTTTCCATTCCTCAGAGCCGCGTTTTCTTTTCTTCAGTCTCTTTTTTCTAATAGCATTTGATTGATTTGCAGGCAAATTGACAATTTCAATATCCTGTATTAAATTCCTTCTCTCTTCGTCTAATTCGCTGGCAGGGGTTTATAACTCTCCGCAGATTCGCTCCTGCTGCCTGCAAGGTCAACAGCACCGAATGTCTCATTGGTATCAATGTCTAAAATAATTATTCAACTTGAAATGAACAGAATATGAGAACACTTGTGGTACTTACTTAATTGATATTCGAAAATTATGTTGGAGAAGTACATTTTCCTTGACTGGCAAATTCGTTTAAAGTTGGTGCATTTTTCTCCGCTTTGAAAAAAATATCGTTAGCTGTAGGTTGAAGTATTCCAATTTCGTCATTCACTTCAGTCGAAGCGATGTCGTCATTATGTTGGCTATTCACTGGAATGATATTGACATCTTCAAAATCTGATGGAACAGCGTCTCGTTCAACAATTTCAAATATTATATTGGAATCATCTGTTCGAATCTCTTGATTCCCCATCTCTTGATTTTGTTGTATGTTTGCTAATTGCACCATTAATTTACCCCTATACATTTTGCTGCAATGATTGTAGTATGAGACTCCCAGTAAAATGGTATTTATTTTCATCTGCTCATTATTATTAGATCCGCGCAGTAATTTTGTATGATTGATCAATAGTGGAAAAAGCCAGAAAATAGTACATTGATTCGGCAAATGAATTCATTGATTAACGAGAAAGTGTTGGTTACCAAATACCACTTTGGTAAAGCGGTCCAAAGTACGCAGTCTGTATTTTACAACGAAGAGCAAGTAAACTCCAATAGTAATAATTGAATGTGAAAAAAATAGAATCATATCTGAAATTGAAAAATTATAATATATAAGTGTGTTAAATTTACCTACATCATATCAAATAAAATTTCAATTAATTAGATACCTGACAGATTTCCGATGAATACCCACGTTAAAACGGCACACACATTTAGGTTATGTAAATGCGCGGCAAATCCTGGACTTACGCGTTTTTCTTGCTGAATAAACTTGCCAGAGAGATACGCGATATTCTTACGTAGAAATCTATAATGACCCTTAGCACGCTCACAGCCAACAGATTCGATGGTTGTCTAATAGACCGCAGCAAAATCTGAATTTGTACATAAAGTGGAGTAGCGTGGTTTTCTTGGGGTAACAACGATATTTGATTTTGCTTTCTAAATTACCTGCTTGCTGTCATTCAATGACCTTTCTTAACTATTTTTTTATTTCTTTACTGTTTTGTCCCCCGTATTGCTGACTGATATGGTATTTGAGGTTACTTTAGCATCTAGTCTATATTTATAGATTTCAAAAATGTATGCTTGTACATATATTGTTGTAATTTCTCTCCAGGCATTATTAAATTTCAATCTACAAGAGTAGGTGCATATTATCTATCAAGTATGTATCCGCGAATTCAATAAATTAAATTAAATAAGCTTCGCCCATCACTTGTCAACATTATCATCAATCATTCTAACAACTACTGAACTACTGCATCAAATCAAGTGATGAATGGTACCTGTTGTTATATAAATATATAGTAGATCGCCGGAACAAAAATTAAACCTGTTAATTGATTTGTAACCTTTGTATGCTAATATAATTATTGGTTTGAAAGAGATTTATTACCGTACCAGCCATTATGAGTGAAATTATTATTTACTGCCTTACCCATTAGAGCTTCATGACAACGAACGGACATTTTGCGGTATGCGGGGCTTTCTGTAATGAAATTTCTGAGGCTATACTTTGTTGCATGGAGAATATTTCGTAAGCATAAAAAGTACATTGCTGGTCAACGTTTTACGGTACACGCATAAACCAGACTGTATATGCATCCTGTGTGTTGAAACCACATAAAAAAATGTTTGTTCTATGCCTGGTCGGTGTTATTACTCGAACTTCAAATTCATGTAAGTGAGCTTACTGACTTTGTGAATTTGAATTCAATGACCTTTGGATAGTGCCCTATGAGAAGTCAATGGAAAATGTAGTATAGGGTTTCATCAAGTCATGTCGCTCGATATTTTCATAAAAAGATAAAAATTTAGCTGAAATTTTAATGCTTGACATGTATTTCTTGTTCTACTTAACTTGAGGTCAAACACTTCAAAACTACTTGATACTTGACGGCAAGTTATGTTTGTTCAGTGATATTTGTCTGTACACCGATGAGCCGTATTTTGTAATTTACCTAATGCAAATAATCACGTAGGTATAAGATAAAAAATGGTCAGGAGGCATGTAAACTGTCATCTCAAATGATTCATGCAAACAGTGTTGCCGAACCGAAATACACGAAATCGATGGCTGAAATTCGGAAAATTCATGCACAAAATCGGTAGAACGAAAAAAACCAGGGCCGGCGTAAGACATGCGATGGATCAAGGGCTTTTGCGTCAAGCAGCGCCATCTATGAGAAGCATATTTTTGAAAAGAGCGGACACACAACGCAGATACACAGGTTCGCTAAAAGTAAAAACAAGTTAAAATTAAGCTTCTCATAAAACATCTAATTTTACAGGTTTTTCACAAGAACAAGATATACTGTCCAAACAGCTACTTGTTATACATGTTGTACATACTACGAGTATATAACAAGCACAACTTAAAAATATTTATTATGATATAGGAGTGTGGTTCAATATCCGGTCAGTTACACCATTATTTTTTATTTTATCACCATTTTAAATCTGTCAGGATGTGTCTTTTTAGCGATTGAAAAGATAATTTAAAATTTTCAATTTTCTTGTATCAGCTAATCAAAAAATGCTTTTTATACTAGAGTTTACAGTTTTGTCGTTCTATTAATTGTTGTGCGATGAACAAATAATTTTGTCCATGTATTGTTTTCTCTGAAACTTGTAATAAATATAGTTATGTTCCTAACAAGTACGGAAAGTGATACTTTTCCGCACGCCGTCAAGGACGGAAAATACACTTTTCTCAAGTGTTAGGTAGGTATAGGTAAGATTTTTTCTACCAGCGTGTTGAAAGTGAGAGGAAGAGGGCTCTCTTCCCTTTCGGTGAGCTGTGTGCCTGAACACTGATAAAACAGTCGCTTCACGATGCATTCTCAGGAAAAAAAGTGCTGAAATGTTGCTGTCGTCTCTCAGTCGTATCTCTAAACAAGAACATTTAGTGAGGTGAAGAACCCAAGAACCTTTATTTGTCCGAAAAAATGCATGCCTTCACAAACTTGCTTGGCAAATGTCAACAGCTATTTGAATGTCGGATCATTGGCCACGGAAGATTACCAGGCCCATTCTTCTCTCTCGTTTTCAAAGATAGGTGTTCCGAATTCCATATTTTCTCCGATCTACCCGCTGAGCTCGTCATCACCCAGACGCTAAAGCTTGGCTCTCCATAGAATGGATTTCTATCTACATCTCCGCCTCTCATGAAGGTTTGAGGTGCCTGCAATGTTAGCTGACCCAAGACGCTGCGCATCCCTGATTAATGACTACCTTGGTGCCTTAGACTCATACATCTCTAAAGAAGCCTGTATGTATAGCGATGTGAAGACTGGAAAATAAACGATTGGCGCTTCCCGCATATCCTGATTTATAACATTTACCTAGGTAAAATTGAGACTGAGACTTACATAATTAACACTGAAACTGTTTGGGGTCCAGTCCCCCTGACTTTCACGATGCACATCCCAAAGTCGACCTATCTGCTACGGAGCCCAATAAACCGGTTTGTTTTTGTGGATCGGGCCATTCCAAAGGCCTAAGGTAAGCGGGTGGGTCAAGCTTTCCAGGACCCAACATCAAGCACCAAGAGCACAATCACTAGTTCTCATTCCCCATAACTGCCCCAGTACGCCTATGCCTGAAGTATGACAGAGGCAGGCATGGGCGCCCAGAGAGGAGCAGGGGTCGTGGCATCCACTGGGAATTCGGTTGGACCTTAGGATTAGCATACCTACTTAGCGTGATTTCCTGTACAATTTAGTGGATTCTTGTTGATGATTGCCCTAATGAGAAAAAGGTTTGCGGGCGCCCATGCAGGCAGGTCGAGAGGAACTTCCGTGGCCGGATCCATCATGAATCAAGTGAAGTGCAATTTTGATCCAAAAGAATAAATTTTCCCTACATACCTATCTTAATATCGGACCACCAAGCCTGAAACCTATGGAACTACAGATGGTAAAGTCTAAGGCATAAGGTTAGCTGAGAAACAAGGAGCCTTCTGACTATGCCCTTAAGGGTACATATCTTTTATCAGACCGCCAAGCTGATTATTCTGGAACCCTCCATCCCGTGGCGTCCGTTCACCAGGTCAGCACCTTTCTGCAAACTGAAATGCTGATTGCAAGCCACCTACTTGAAGAGAGCAGAACAGGGCATAAAGCCAGCCGGCTTTAACGAAGCCGCCTGACGTCTGTGCCGATGCCGCCTATAACCACGCAGCCATTTTCTCCATCAGATGACCTGGAACCTGGGCGACGGGGCATAATTGTGGCGTATGCGCGATTGGCCGGTCGTTCCGGCCGACCGACCAATGGCCGCGCCGCGTTCGCCAGCGGGCTCGGCCTGCTTCGATGTTCGCCGCTAAGCCGCCGTTACCGCCACGCCGCTCGCCGTCTAAGCCCATTAATCCCCGCGGCTAATGAGATGCACAAATCTCACCGCGGTGCCGCGCCAGACCAGCGGAGCTGTAGCCACAGTCGCGCGGTGGGCGTACGAAGCTGCGTTGAGAGGGGATCCGACTCGCCGCTCGGCTGGAGCGTTGACTATATAGGGAGATCCAGGCTAGAGTGGAATGTGAAACTTACAGAATTAGCAGTTGCCGCATGCAGACATGGTTCTCTCTTTGGAACTAGGGCGCTAAATTGTGGTGCTCCTTCTTTTCCCTTCTCTCATGTTTTCCCTGCAAAACAGAGTCCTTTGGGTGGGAGGCAATGGCACCGTCCCCCGCCCCCTAGATACGCGCCTGTTCAGGTTGCAGCAATTTGATGGAGTGTTTAATGTACCAGAAAAGAGCTAAGGTCCCGAGATCTCCAAGTTCAGCAAGGCGAAGTGGCTCTAAGGCTGAGCGGTCTGAGCTTCTATATTCCATTTAAATTAAATAATGAAGAAGACGGAGGCCTCTTTGTAGGGCGCAATGTAACCAATGATGTTCGATTCCCACTGCGGTTGAGGTCTCTGCAGGCTGCTTGTCACCAGCTGTTATTGCTTGCAGAAACCGGTGACGATTTTAACAGGCTATGAAGACCTGGTTTTATGTTGAGGTGAACTGTACAAATACGTTGTGAGCTAGAGATGCTAACCAGGCGCCCCTTAACCTCTTAACCGTGTTGCCAGAATTCGGATGTGGTTGTATGTATCGTGTCATAAAAATATTAAATGCGAGAATATTCGCATTACCCGGTAAGATAAAAAGATGCGCATATATTCGTCGTTCCCGTAATGTGATATGCTTACAGATAGAAAGTATGCGTATATACTCGTTTCACTCGATAGGGAGAGCGTATGAATATGATAATAAAAATGCAAGCATGTATCCAATAATTCCAATTACTTTATTGAAAATTATTGACAAAAAAGCTCACTAAACTACGAATGATATAAACCAAAACATGGTGCAGCACACAGTCCAGTTTTACATGATTCGCACCAATATATATACTCTCTTTCCTCTTGCCTTTCTCTCTACACACTACACACCTTTTGGTCGGTTTCTTTTTATGTGCCGTGGATGGTATTACAGATGGAAAATGTTTCTCAATCAGCCGACTTGCATTTTTTGTTTTTGAGTTTTTGATCGTCTACCTGCATTACAATTCTTATCTCTTCCATATTTTTCTATCAGTTTTTCAGCTAAATCTATTACAAAGTTCAGACGTGACTTCCTACCACAAAGTTTTTTGTAAAGGATGTAACTGTTTAATACAGTTATATCTAAGAAATGAAGAAATATTTTTCTGTAATATTTTTTGAGGTGTGTACGTGACATTGCATAAAAATGGAGCATATTGTCTGTCAAATCTACTCCACCCATTTTTTTATTATAATGCTCTATAACTACTGGCTTTTTCATTACCTTCCCTCTTTTTGTTTTCTCTACAAACTGATTGTCATGTAAAGTACTTATCATCACTATTTCTTTTTTATCTTTATACTTCAGCAACATAATTTTCTTCCTAAATAAGGCATATGCTTCTCCGTGTTCCAACTTTTTCTCCTTCAGCTCTTTTGGTATACCTTTCCTATTCAACCTCATTGTGCCAACACAATCTGTGCGCCTCATCGATAACTTTTCTGCCAAGTCCACGCTAGTATAGTAGTTATCGAGAAACAGACAATAACCTTTATCTAAGATATTATTTGAGAGTTCTAATACCACTCTAGCTGATAAAGGTTCACTCGCGAAGCTGTCGCCATAGTTTGTATCAGCTCCGGTATATATCAAAAAGTTATAGGTGTAGCCTGATGAGCTTTCAGCTAAAATAAATAGTGTTATCCCAAACCTTTTTCTTTTCGATGGGATGTACTGTTTCCACGTTAGGCGACCTTTCCAACCTAGTAGTGACTCGTCAATGGAAATGTTTTGTTCAGGAATGTAAACCTCCATAAACCTTTTTTGAAGGTGATCTAGAACAGGTTTAATTTTGAATAGCTTCCTCTGAGAAGTGTTTTCGTCAATTTCGTTATTATTAGAAAAATGTAGGAACTTACATATAAGTGCAAACTTCCTCTCAGTCATCACCTTGGAAAAAAAAGGTGTTTCTATGCTTTCCCTTTTCGAAAAGTACATTTCGTATGATGGTTTCACGCAAACACTTTGTAATAACAACAATCCAAGAAAAGTTTTTATTTCATTAGCATCCGTTTGAGTAACCGGCGCGAACTCTTGAACGAGGCCTGATATTTTCATAGTTCTTGATAATGAACTGATTGGCGTACCTAGAATAAGACAAATGTAGAATATTCATAATAAGTGTAGAGTAACACCATTTTACCTATTTGTTTCTTCTACTACAAGGTTTGTCAAATGCTGATCCATGAATAACTCAAATATCTCCAAAATATTATCCGAGCTAATATCAGGAACTTTTATGCCAGGATCTGAAGTGAAGGGAAAGTTAGGGCGCGGTATACCTTCTTTGACCCAAGGTACATCTACGTCGTCTGCAGCCTCTTCTGGGTATTCACTTTCTTATCCATCTGCCGAAGATAAATCGTCGCAGTTTGATAAATCATAGTTAGTATCAATAGAACTGATAGACAAAAGATCGCTGTTGTAATCGAATGAAGATTCACTCGCGTCAGACATTACAAAAGGGTAGCACGCAAAACGCCTGTACTCCAGCCTATATCAGTCCTCAACTGAGCTCATTTAACAGAAAGCAGTAAGTTTTGTATACCATTCGAACGTGCGAAGAGTGAGGATTCCCATAGAACATAATAGCGACTATATTCGTATTATTCGTGAAATGCGGCGTTTAAAAAGGTGAGGCGAATATACTCGTACTACCCAACCAAGTTAGTTTATTACTTGGCGAATATATCCGTCATATTCGGTTAAGAGGTTAATAGGGTAAAACGTCTTTAAGTTGGCGCGACCTGAGCAAGCTCCTATTGCACCTACGGTCAGTGGGGGTGTGAAAATCCAGCTAGGTATTTAAATTGAGGATGTGGAACATCGGAGGCCCTCTAATAGCGAGCGACTCTAATCTGTTAAGACTGTCTTAGATTACAAAATCACATGTCTAAGATTTGGTTCAACGGACAAGAGGACAAGATGTACTTATTGGATAGTTTCATACAGTAGCCGAATTTAGCGAATGCCAAGGATGTGAGATATGAAAGAACCCCTAATGTCCCTGCCTTTTCATTTAAACTACGGCCTTGTCATTTTCTTTTCTTTCTCGTGGGACTTAATCTGCAATGTATCATCTAGAAGTCTAAGCGGAGCAGAGTTCAAGGAGTAAGGTGAGGAGATAAGGAGGACTTAAAGATCCAGTGACTCTGATGCCCCTTACAACATAACTTGTAGAGAATCTCCTCTTTGGCTTCGTTCTGCGTAAAGGGGTCCAGCAAAGTCTGTCATTACGATACCTCAAAAATCATAGATTGATTCACTGATCAACAGCCAAAAAATATCCTAAATAAAATCAACAAAATATTACTATTTTTAATGTGCTAAAACCGGAATGAAACTTATTTTTTCAATATTAGTTCAAGTTTTAGAGATACGTTAATTATATGTGTTCCTGCTGTGACAGTATTAATATACTGTAATTCACAAGAATGCACGTGCTACATTTTTATATTCGGCAAGGAAAGACGATGTAATCGGCATGATTGTGTTACGTTATACATACGTGTACATTATATTGTTTTATATTAGCCATTTTTTCCTCAGTTGGCTGACAGCGTTCATGCAAGATGTCTCGAAAGTTTGTAAACAATCCAGATCAGTTTTGTTACGTGTGCGGTGATGCGACTTTTGCGTCTCAGAGACGGTCTATTACTCCACTAATAACAAAGGCATATCAGCTTTATTTCGGTTGTAAACTAGGTGATCAAGACACACAGTGGGCACCCCACATCTGCTATAATACATGTGCTTCAAGTCTGAGGAGCTGGTTAAATGGCAAAAAACGGTCTATGCGCTTTGCTGTCCCAATGGTTTGGAGAGAACCTACAAATCATATCTTAATGATTGTTACTTTTGCATGGTACCTTGTGTTGGACAAGCCACAGGTATGTCCAAGAAAAAAAAATCGGGTATTAACTACCCAAACATACCATCTGCGATGAGACCTGTGCCTCACAGTGACGAAAATCCTATTCCAAAACCCCCAGAATCCTCCTACACTTGCGAATCAGAAAACGAATCAGATCATGGCGATCGAGTGATTCGTCAGGAAGAAGATATGCCATCAACGTCAAGAGATCCTGATTTTATACCGAGCACGTCATGCCACCAACCGCACAAAATAACACAGTCAGAATTAAATGATCTTGTAAGAGATTTAGAACTTCCAAAATGTAAGGCAGAGTTACTATACTTGGATCAAGACTGCAGCAGTGAAACTTGTTAGAAGACGATGTTTCGGTATGTGTTTTTCGTAAACGCCACAAAGACTTAGAACCATTTTTCAATATGAAGAATAACTTGGTTTTCTGCAGTAACATTAACGGCTTACTGACGGCTTTAAATATAAACTATAACCCAGAAGAATGGAGATTGTTTATAGACAGTTCAACATTGAGTTTAAAGGCAGTGTTATTGCATATTGGAAATATTTTACCATCTCTTCCTGTAGGGTATGCAGTTCACATGAAAGAATCATATGACAATATGAAGTACCTGTTGACATACATAAAATACAATGAGCACCAATGGCATATTTGTGTCGATTTGAAAGTTGTTGCACTTTTACTTGGGCTGCAGCTAGGCTACTCAAAGTTTTGCTGTTTTTTGTGTGAATGGGACAGTCGGGCAAAGGCATTTTATTACACCAGACAAAACTGGCCTGTTCGTCAATTCCTAGAGTCAGGTCAAAAAAATGTACAGCCATTAGTAGATTCGAAAAAAAATTTATTACCACCACTGCATATCAAGTTGGGCCTAATGAAAAACTTTGTCAAGGCATTAGATAGAGATGGGTCAGCTTTTCAATACCTGCGTCAGAAATTTCCAAGACTAAGTGAGGCAAAGGTTAAAGAAGGGATTTTTGTTGGGCCACAGATTCGAAATATTTTGAAAGATACACAGTTTGAAAACTCTTTAACAGGTATTGAAAAAACTGCTTGGAATGATTTCCGTCTGGTGGTCACTAATTTCTTGGGAAATAGACAAGCTGACAACTATAAAACCCTTGTCAATAATTTGCTGTCATCGTATCAAAAGATGGGCTGTAATATGTCTCTTAAGATACATTTCTTACACTCACACCTGGACCTGACAATTGCGGAGCCGTAAGTGATGAGCACGGCGAACGTTTTCATCAGGATATTTCAACAATGGAAAAAAGGTACCAGGGAAAGTGGAATCCTTCCATGCTTGCAGACTACTGTTGGACTCTTGGTAGAGATGCTCCAGAAACGATCCATAAAAGAACAGCAAAAAGACAGCGCATATAGTGATTCTTATAAGTATATGAATCTTGTTACTTTTTTTAATATACCCTTAAAAATAAAAAGTTTTTTTTCTAAACCGCAACTAATTTTTTTATTTCATTGTCATTTTTGGATTCAGCGCCCCAAAATTAACAAAGAAGTGCACTTTTCCCACAAGATACAATTAAAAAACTAAAATTTGTTGTCCAGTGAGCGGCAGGCAGCATAGCTTCCGACACAATCGACCTACTAGGGCATTCTACTTCATATCACACACCTGTGGAGATAGCTCGTTCATTTACTTGGTGAGGCATATCACCAACAGTAGCGACAGCTGTGCTGCTGGGCAAATTGATGGCTTACTTCCTCTCTAGTCATGGAGTAACTGTCGTCGTGAACTACTTCTTCCGTTCATGAAATGATACCAAAATGGGTATTTGCCCCTATCTGTCTGTTACCTCCTTTATTGTGAGCAGACTGAGCTTTGGGACGTTGTCAACGATATTTTAAGGTGGGTTTCCGACGCTTGGAACTATCTGCATGGCAGGATGTTTCTCAGTTCTACCAACCATACGAACCAATTCATTAATCTCGCTGTTCGGAATTTAAATTTCTGTTTTCAGTTAACGAATAAGAAAGTTGGTAAGAGATGAATTCAGAGATAAAGCAGCGTCTAAAACTTTTGTGGAGAGTGTATTTAAATAACGAATTTGGCAGCTAAAGAACCGTAGCAATGTGCAAGGGGTCTTTCCTTCTACCAATTGTTTCTCCCTGAAGATGCTGAGTGCTCCTCGGAAGACCCAATATGAGCTGCAGCTTTTGCATGCAAGAATCCGATGCAGACATAGCCTACATAGAATGACGGGCCTAAGAGGAGGGGGCCTCCCAAGGCCTTCCACCCTATAAAGGAACGGAAAAAAGCACAACTTTTGCCTGCCTGCCCGTGCCATGGCCCGTTTGGTCCTAGGGTAATACGCTTCTGAGAGGCTATGCAGAGCTAGGTGAATGTCTAGGGCGCCAAATATGAAATAATGGTTGAGAAACTGACACTTTCAGAGCCCTTTAGTATGAGGAGGTGTAACTAATGTTCTGCAAATGACTGTCAAAACCACACCCATTTGAACTAGGTAATCGAAGTAATCGCTCAGTTTTGATACCTATACATAAGTTGATGTTGCGTTAAGACCGCATTCATATAATTATAATCTGTTCGTTATTCTTGTGATGATCCCTTGTCCAGCAAAAAGGCTGAAACATAGGCACAGGTAGAGGTTAAAATTCAGTTTCCGTTATTATAAGTCAGTGTGTCGCCGAGACCGGATGTTGCTATACACGTGAGCGCGCCAGGAGCCGCAGGGTGCGTGTCTCGATTTTTAACTATCAGACAAACGGCCTCACCTACACCGCAAGACGTTGTTTTATCTGCTTAAGTACATTGCATTGTTGCCATCGTCCACCAGACTCAGAAGTAATAAGGTTGTTATCTTATGGCTAACTCTAATCAAAGTTCTTGTGCTTGTGCGTATTATATAATATATATATATACATAATTGAACAACTCAAACTACACACACTCGGCTAGCGGCCTGCCATAATAGTTCAACATAGCCTCTTAACTATGTTGAATTTTTGACTCGTGTTTACTGTAGTTATTGTTAAATTCAGGTATAATCAAAACATTTTATTGTCCTTGTGTTAATGATATGGGATTTAAAGGATCCATATGTTAAAAGTTTGCTCAAACATAAGGCGTTCCACAGGGATCCTCTTCAGGACCACTTCTTTTCATTATATTTATCAACAACATTCCTGACGTCATTGTTTGCAACTTTCTGTTAATGCCCATGATCTGAAAATCAAATTAACAGCAGCCCTGATTTGCGAACGTCTCCAAAATAATTTTGTCCGCATAATAATTTGGTGTGATAATAATAACATATACATAAACGCATCAGCTTCAATCCGCACGTGAATAATTTCCTAAATTCTATAAATAAAGGGCTGGGTTTTGTGTCGCGGCCATGATTTTGATAGTATAAAGGCTCTACTGAAGTTGTGTAATGCATTTGGGA